CGCCCCAAGCAGAGCTCCGGCAGCCGAAGACCTCCAGAACCAGCCACAACCATGCTGAGACCACTCTCCAAACGCATGAAGGTACCGGCAGAGAAACAAAAGCATGTGGGACCCGGGGCTGAGATCTCCAAGCCTGCTCAGATTGGGGCTGAGCATCCCCCACCCAGATCCTCCATCTCCCAGTAGGCAGGGGTCACACCCACCAACTGCCCCAGCGCCAGGTAATCCCATCAATGACCAAGACCCAGAGACTATAAAAACCCTGCTCCCGGAAGCAATCCCATCAACGGCCAAGACCCAGAGACTATAAAACCCTGCTCCCGGAAGCGCGCAGCCGCGTGACATCTTATTATCTCATTCTTGCTTTGGACAACCTGGCAGGCTACCGAATGTAACCTGCCCACACGGCAGAGTCTGGCAAACTCCCCGTGGCATACCCAATATGCCAAATACCAGTAACAATGATGGGTCTCATTCTCCTAACCCTGAAAGAGCCTTGAATATGGCACTTTTTAAAATCTCAGGGTAGGACGAAGGAGATGTTACTGGTGCCTGCCTGCTCGAGGCAATTGACGAACAACAGGATGATCATGATCGTCATTCTGTATAAGCACAGTAAGAGATATATCAAACTTAAAGTTTGGTTCTTTCTGAGGACATCTCACTATATATTCCAGACCGCAGTCCTCAGGCCAGGTTAGTCTTCCTAACCCCAGCAGGGTCCTTATCCAGTTACTTCTTTTGGGTCATGACAGAGTTTGTCCATGACTGTGCTCTGAACTTATAGTTAAAAGTATTATGGCAGTTGGCCTGGCCCATTTTGATGCCAGGGAAGCTCACAGCTTGCTCTGGGTCCATTCAGTCCCTCTTCGGGACCCTGCTTTTGGGGTGCTAGGAACTAAGGGCAACTGAGTCTAGTAGGCAGATGCCCAGGAGTAAATATTATTCAGAGTCAATTAACTCCCAAGTTACAAAAGCATAATATTAACTGTCTTGCTGTGTCCATACAAAAAGGACATTGCTTTAAAGTAAACTATGCGAAAGATAGAGAGAAGCAGTATTTAATTCACAATACAAGTTCAGTGCTCTAGAAGGATCTGATCTTACAAATTAACAGAATCTGATTAGGGAAAAAGGTGACTAACTGATTGGGGAGGAGAGCACAGAGAAAAGTCGACAGATAAACACAGAGGAATGGGAGAGTCTTCAGAGCACTTACACCTGTGGCAAGGGAGAAAGGACATACCAATGTTATCCTAAAATGTTTAGAACTACACTCCAACACCTTTACTATCTTTTTCTTGTCCAACTTCTATAGTAATTACTTCTGTAATTATACTGAATAAAAGTGGTGATAGTGGCAACCTTGTCTTGGGCCTGATCTTAGGGAGATGGCTTTAGCTTTTCCCCATTGACTAATAAGTTTTCTGACTAAAGCTCTGAGTACGTCGGGAAGTCTCTTCAAACCCCATTCCACTGAAAGTTCTTATCATGAACGGGTGCTGCATCTTGTCAAATGCTTTCTCTGCATCTTTTAATATGGCCATATGAGTTTTTTTTCTCATATTGATATGGTCTATCATGCTGACTGACTTACAATTGTTAAATTATCCTTGCACCCCCAGGAAGAATCCCACTTGGTCATGGTATATGATCTTTTGGATAATGTGTTGTTTACGATGTGTTGGATACAATTTACAATTTTGTTAAGGATCTCTGCATCTATCTCAAGTCTTTTCAAGGTCACCTACAGGCTCACTTGAGTGTACTCTGCCACCTGCTGCCATCCTGAGGCAGACCAACCCAAGCACCTGTCCTTAGGCCTACCACAAAAAGCAGTCTGGCAGCCTCCATCCAATTCTTCCTTCCCTGTAGTCTCTGCTTCTTTTCTTTCCTCAACCCTGGTTTGTCTGCTCCATGGCTAAGCAGTTTCTTCCCTCTCCTGCAGCCCCCAAATGTCTGACTTCCTTTGGATTCAGCATTTGGGCCCTCTTCCTCTCCCTTGACAATTACAACTCCTCAGTCTTCACCTAGTAAAGGCCCTCCCGTTGATCATCAATTTGCTTGAGCAGGCCCAGTAACGTCTCCATTGGAGACTAATGGAGACTTTGTTGTTACTGTGTTTGGCATTTCGAATACGCCACGGGGAGCTTGCCAGGCTCTGCCGTGCAGGCGAGATACTCCCGGTAGCTTGCCGGGCTCTCTGAGAGGGGCAGAGGAATCGAACTCAGGCAGGCCATGCTGGCTGCGCGCAAGGCAAATGCCCTACCGCTGGGCTGGAGCGATAGCACAGCGGTAGGGCGTTTGCCTTGCACGCAGCCAACATGGCCAACCCGAGTTCGATTCCTCCGCCCCTCTCGGAGAGCCCGGCAAGCTGCCGGGAGTATCTCGCCCGCAAGGCAGAGCCTGGCAAGCTCCCCGTGGCGTATTCGAAATGCCAAACACAGTAACAACAAAGTCTCCAATGGAGATGTTACTGGGCCCGCTCGAGCAAATCAATGATCAATGGGAGGGCCTTTACTTTACTTACTTTACTCAGTCTTCACCTATGGTAAGCAGACCACATCTACATCTGAAACTATAGCTTGGAATTCCACTTTGAACTCTCCATTTCTCTGCAACCATCAACTAAGAGTTTCCAAACTCATTCCCAATCAGCTTGGCCTTAGCTCTACATCCTACACCGATCCCCCATCTACGAAAAGTGAAAAGGTTCACCTGGGGTCCTGGCATCATCTTTGGGGGAAGGGGAAAAAAGGGTCTTCCAGGGAAACAGGACCACAGAGGTCCTGGGCTAAGAGAGCTGAAGAGGTGGGAGTACCATGTCGCAAAAAAAGCGGAGAGGGGGAAGCATGGGTAGGCAGTGGGACCCTCTGAACTTGATTCCTCACTCAATAGCCAAATGACAGAGTCAACCCCTTCCTTGCCCTAGATGCTGGCTGCTGGAGTTTATCTGTATCTGCAAGCATTTACTGACCACGACCCCAGGCAGAGCACTGTACTAAGCACAATGTAATATATTGTAGCACTGTAGCACTGTCCTTCCATTGGTCATCAATTTGCTTGAGCAGGCACCAGTAAGATCGCCATTGTGAGACTTGTTGTTACTGTTTTTGGCATATCAAATACGTCACAGTAGCTTGCCAGGCTCTGCCATGCAGGCGGATACTCTCGGTGGCTTGCCGGGCTCTCCGAGGGATGGAGGAATCGAACCCGGGTTGGCCGCATGCAAGGCAAACGCCCTACCCGCTGTGCTATCGCTCCAGTCCCCAAATTATTTCTACATGAACCTATCACCACCATTTTACAAGGAAGGAAATTAAGAAAGTTTCAACGACTTACCTGAAGTTTCAAAGTCAGGATTTAAATCCTAGTTCCTAAATCCTAAGGCATACTCTAATGTCGGTTATCCACCACGAGTAAAACAGGCATCAAACACAGAATTTTCCTCCAGAGACTCAAATGTCAAAATGCAGCAAAAACTCTGAAGCTACATCAAACATTTTTGACCCCTACAGAAGTGATATGGAGAGTTATGAACTGCTCTGCAGTTTATCATGAGTGCTTGTCTGTATTAATAAGGATCTCCAACTGCTTCACAATGTTAACCTCGTACGTCACCCCTAGGTATCGTGAGAACTTCAGCAACAGAGACCGCATCTTATTATTTCTTACGTCTGCTAGGAATAACCACCAGAAGTAACAGGTACCATAGCTAGGAATGGCAATAAAGGTAAAGTAAAGGTAAAGGCCCTCCCGTTGATCATCGATTTGCTCGAGCGGGCCCAGTAACGTCTCCATTGGAGACTTTGTTGTTACTGTGTCTGGCATATCGAATACTCTCGGTAGCTTGCCGGGCTCTCCGAGAGGGGCGGAGGAATCGAACTCGGGTCGGCCATGTTGGCCGCTTGTAAGGCGAACGCCCTACCTCTGTGCTATCGCTCCAGCCCATTGGAATGGCAATAGACAAGAAATATTTATCAAGAGCTTCCTATGTCCCAGGCAATGCTTCTAAACCCTTGACCCACTCCTTTAGTTTCCCAGACCACCGCAGGTGGACACAACACAGATGGTCCTGAGGGGTGAGCTAGACCTTCTCCCAGCAACGTGCGCAGACTGGGGAGTGGGGTGGGCAACACGGGGTGAAGCTGAGCTTCGCTCAGGCCGGGCTCTAGAGGGCTCTGAGGGCCCTGCATGCAGGCCCCACTGAGGAACGGGGAGAGACGCTTTCTGTGCACTGCCCCCTGCCCCTCGCTTCCTGAGACTGGCGTGACTGCTCTGATCCCCACCCGCAGGGGAAGCCCTCACTGGAAAGCAGCCAGCGAGGCTGGGAGTCTGTAAGTCACAGCTCCAGGCTGTCCGGTGCAAGGCACGGAGAACCTGACCCGGCACCTCTGGGAGGGTTCCGGGCTCGGGCGATCCGGGAAGCACGGGGATCCAGACCGCCGGTCAACCCAGGGAGGCGGCTCCAGAGCCCACGTCCGCGCCCCCTTCAGCAGCTGTGACCTGCCTTCCACACCTCGCGTGGCTCCGGGCAGGGTGGCCGCTCTGCGTGCCGGGCACCGTGGGCATGAGGCGACCCGCTCGGACCCAGTCCCCGCACCTCACGGCCCGTGCCCGCGACGGCTCAGACCCGGTCCCGGTGCCTCAGGCACAGCGCCGCGCTCAGGACCCACGTCAGGCGGCGCGGGGACCGCCCCGGGGAGAGACGAGACCCGCTTCTGCGGAGGAGAGCCGATCGGGGGGCCCCCGCGACCCTTCGGCCGGGGCCCGGGAGCCCTGGCTGCCCCTCGCGGCCGCGAGGACGAGGCCGGCTCCCACCCGGGGCCCCCTCGGGGAGGGCCCGGGGGCAGTCGGGGGCCGCGCGCGCGGGGCGGGAGCCGCGTTGGGCGGCCCGAAGCCCCGCCCCGCCCGGGCCTTCCCGTGCGGCTCCGGGAGGGCGCGAGGGGGCGCGGCTGCCGGCGGGCCCCGGCCCCCGCCCGCCGCCGCCGCAGCCTTACCTCGGGAGGCCGCGCCCGCCGCCGCTCGCTGCCCTGGGCGCAGCCCGCCGGGCCGCCCAACCGTCCGACGACGCCCCCTCGGCGGCCGGGCCCGCCCCCGGCTTCCGGTGCGTCACTTCCGCCGGCGCTGCGCAGGCGCGCGGGGCGGTCCTGGGACGCGGGTGCGGCGGCGGCGGGCGGTGGCGGCGCAGGGCGGCGGCTCCCACGTGCTCCCGACGGCCGGTGGAGACCGTTGCGGGTGCCGGCGGGCAGGTGAGGGGCGCCGGGGCAGATGCGGCGGAGTCCCGGGCTGACGGTGCCCCGTACTCCGGGGAGGGCCTCTGCCCGGAGCTCCGTGCTGGGGAGCAGCGCGGTTGGTGCCCGCAGGGCTCAGGAGTAGCCGCGTGGGGTGGGGGCAGCCGGCCGCCTCGGTTTCCCCGGGAATTCCGGAGGATCCGCTGCGAGGGCAGGCTTGCGGGCTTCCCGGACACGTGCTGGGATTCCCTGCCTCTCCTGCCTCTTGGCAGACGTGGGGGAGGAGGCGACGAGGGCTGTGCGTGTGCGGGGCTGGCCTCGGGGATGGTTGTTCCCGCGCTGCTGCGTTAGTGTTGCGCCCCCGCCCCGCGCTGTCCCTGTGAGCGGTGGTGCTGGAGGGAGAGCGGGGACGCGGGGAGAGATGGCCCTGCGTCTCCCAGCCTTTCGCCTGTGGGTTGGGTGCACGGAGGTCTCTCTAGATCTACAGTCTTTGCGAGGAGCGAGGCCCCCGCGGAGTGCCTGACAGCCTGGCTTGTAGGCAGGAGGTTGGTCCCTTGCACGCACTCCCTTCCCTTGGAAAGAACTTTGGGGAGGCGCTGTTGTTCTGACATCTGTGGAGGACGGGGCTCTGAAGAGGAGTAAGTCACCAGAAAGGCACAGAGTTCCCAGAATAGGAGCCGCGGAAGGCACCTGCAGACCAGTGGCTGGAGTGTTGGAGGTGACCATGTGGGACTTGCTTCTGGTGCCCCGAGACCCTCAGCTGCAGCTCCTGGTGCCTGCAGCGCCCTTCCGCTGGACACAGGGAGGCTCCTCTTGCTCTCTGGGCCGTGCTGAGCACAGTCACCCAGTGCTCCCAGCTTGGCTCACGTAAGTGCTCCACCTGGCAGTGCTCAGGACTGACTCGTGGCTCTGTGCTCGGAGATCATACATGATACCAGGTCAGCTGTGTGCAAGGCAAGTGCCTGGCCCGCTGTGTCGTTGCCCCGGCTCTGGCCAGACCACCTGTTCCACAGGTGGGAGAACAGGAAGCTGAGACAGGAAATCACTTGCTTGGGTGACAGTGCTCATTGGGGACTGTACTGGCTCCCAGTGATGTGGTGCTAGTGTTGATGGTGTTTGAATGAGAGTGTGAGTGCAGTGGAGGGTGTTTTAAGAATGGACCAGGTAGGTTTTGTAAAATGATGAAATACTTTAAAGAGTAGAAGAATGGAGACTTAAGAAACCCCACAAAACTAACATTCCTGCGGCAAAATCGAGCCTTGGAGCCCATTACCAGGGCCCAGAGTGGCGGTATAGGCTCTGGCAGGGAGGCTGGGGAGTTTTTCTATGATGGTGGGTGAGGACCACATTTAAAGGAGCATGGGTTTGGAAGTGAACAGGAAGTCTTTCTGTAGCCAGAGGGGGTGAGTGTGGTACTCACCTTCCCACACTCAGTACTCCGGGATAGCCAGTCAACCCATTTTTCAGGAAAGCAGCTTTCAGAGGGCACATGCAACCTCTGGCTCGGATCCTGGGCTGAGCCCCATTTGGAGGGGGTGGGGGTGGCCTCTTCCCAGGCCCAGCCCTGCTGCTGTCCCCTCACCTGCCCTCCATGCTGATGCTGCTGGGAAGTGTTGTGCTTGCCCCGTGTGGACTGGTCGCAGAATGGAACCATTCTGGAACCTCCCTCCCCTGCTCTCCCTCTCAGTCTCGGAATTTGGTCCCCCCCGCCCCACCCCACGCAGTGCTGAGGGATCACTCCCAGTGGTGCTTGGGGGCCTGGGAATTGAACCCGGGTTGGTTATATGCAAGGCAAATGCCCTACCCACTGTACTATTGCTCTGGCCCCGCTCCTGAAGAATGTTAACAGGTATATCAAGTTGGTGGCTGGCCAGGCCTGAAACTCTCCCTTTGTTCAGCTGAGAGAAGGTTGGAAGTAATTTTGTCTGTCCCTGAGAGTGAGGGAGGGAGTTTTCACTGGATTATCTTTGGAAGTTGGTAGTATTTACACTTCTCAACTGTTATCCCCTGCACTGAGAGTTCCGACACCCGAGGGACTCCATGTTTACTCTTTTGGTGTTGGAAGAGGATGGGCCGACGGCGCTGAGCACTCCAGGATCACCCCTGGAACGCGGCGCCTCCTCCTGTCTAAGCGAGCCTCAGAGGGCACGGGTGGGAGTGGCTGGAAAGGCAGCTCCTGGGACTGGGTCTCCCCTGAATTGCTGTTTACTCTGGGCAGCAGCTCCCGGGTGGGGGTGGGGCTGTGCGGTACAGACTCTCCGCATGGCCCTTGCTGCCTCCCTCACTCACCCTTGGTGCCTGGGCTTTGCCTCGCACGTCCCAGGACTTTTTTTTTCCTGTCCACCATGGCCGAGTCACCCAGCTGGGTCTCAGAAGCTTCTGGAACCTCCCTCCCCTGCTCCCCCTCTCCGTCTAGCAATGGAAGAGGGCTGGAGAGATGGTGCAGAGGGTAAGGTGCTTGCTTGCGCATGGCCGACCCGGCTTCGATCCCTGGCATCTTTGAGCATGAGCGGGTGTGACCCAGAAACGAAATATAGAAGTTCGGCTGTGAGAAAGCGCTTGTCGGGACACTTTGTTTTCCTTGTAAATTTTTTGTAGAGCAAGACTTCAAGCCTCTCGTGGAGCAGAGGCGACCGTCTAGCTAAAAATGGTATTTTTCACGTGCAATGCATGTGGCGAATCAGTGAAGAAAGTTCAAGTGGAAAAGCACGTGGCTGTTTGCCAGAACTGTGAATGCCTTTCTTGCATCGACTGTGGGAAAGATTTCTGGTATGTTCTGCCTCATTTATGCAAATGGGTCCCAGTTTCTGCAGTACTGGGCCTTCCTAGCGCTATGGCACAAAAGCACTTTACGGCAGTGCTTCCCAGTGCCCTCTGCCTTTGGGGGCCTGGGGGGGATGGGGGTGCCAGCAGAGACAGCCACACACACCCCGAGTGGATGTACTACTCAGTTGAGGTGTCTTGCTTGGAGCCCTTGGACGCACTGGGGTTGCTGCAGAGTAAGGGGTGGCGCAGATGGCTCCAGGCGGCCCTTTCTGCCGTGGGCCTCTTGTCATCGCTGCCTCTGGTCTCGCCTCATAGAGCATCCCCTGGCTCTGCGTCAGTGTTGGGTCACGGTCCGCCCTCCTTCCCTCTACAGCAGTGAGAAAGGGGGGCTGGAGGAGCGGCGCAATGCAGAGGGGGCTCTGGCCCTTTCCATACCTGCCCGGCTACATCCCCAGAGCTGCAGGGGATTATAAAAACTTGGAAGCTGAGGAAGCCTTTGCTCGAAGCTAAACCCCAGAGGTGGCCGGACACCTTCAATAGGCTGGGCTTGGTGCTTCCTGGGGGCACCCAGCCTGGCCTCGCCCCAGGCATTTGCCCGAGGCGGGAGGTGGTATAGGACAGTACTCCCTCTCCCCTGAAGCCCAGCACCCAGAGCTGCCGCTTACAGCAGCTCTCCAGGACCTGAGTGGGTGATAATTGTCACTGGGAAGCATCACGATGGCAGGATTTGAGAAGCCACCCTGGCCCCAAGGTGGTTTCTTCTCTCCAGGGACAGAGAAGCAGCAATGCCACTCAGCCTCCAGGACTTGGTTTGCTGTCGCTTACTTGCTTCTCGCTGACTGTGAGGCTGCAAGAGGGTGTGAGGACTGGCTTCCTCGAGGCCCCCAGTGCCATCTCCGGAACCACGCGGCCTGCTGGGTGCCCCTGGGGTCGGCGTGTGGCCTGCCGAGTGCCCCTGGATGACATCCTGGTGGTCCACGCACCAGGGGCCATCAGCCTGCCTCCTGGGCCCCAGCACTGAGTGTGCTCCTACCCTCTCCTGATACGAACCCAGCCCGGCTGCGGGGCCCTGACGGCCTTTAGGGCCAGAAGCCATAGTTAAGCATTTGGTGTTGGAAGGGGAGGCCCTGGGCACGGGAGGAGTGCTGTGAGTGGCCTCGACAGCGCTGCCCCCTGGTGTGGACTCAAGCGACATCTTTACTCTCGAAGGGGAGATGACTATAAGAACCATGTGAAATGCATCAGTGAAGATCAGAAGTATGGCGGCAAGGGCTTCGAAGGCAAGACCCACAAAGGTGATGTTAAACAGCAGGCCTGGCTGCAGGTAAGGCCCCCTGCTCGCCCGGGGCTGCCTCGCCCCTGCATTCCCAGGAGAACCAAGAACGAGGGCCTGGCGCAGCGTGTTGCACAGCCCCATGTCTTAGGACAGCCTGGAAGGGTGCGGTGTTCAGCGTTTCTCTTGGCCACAGTAGCAGTTTATTAGTAGGATTGGGGTGTGTGTGTGTGTGTGTGTGTGTGCGCGCGCGCGCGCGCGCGCGCGCATGCTTGTGCCCCTGGTGTGTGGGTGTGGTCTTTACTCTGTCTCTGGCAGAGTCCTGCAACAGTATTTTGCTTTGTGGAAGGCTGTGGACTGTTCTTCTTCTGCAAAATTGTTTTGGCTCTGGCAGGGAGGGCACTTGCCTTGCACACAGCCGACCTGGGTTCCGTCCTCGGCATCCCGTTTGAGCCCCTGAGCCCACCAGGGGTGATTGCTGAGTGCAGAGTCAGGAGTAAGTCCTGAGCACTGCTGGGTGTGACCCCAAAACAAACCAACCCCAAAAAGATTGTTTTGAAGTGCTATGTGAATTTGAGGGTGAAACTATTTCTGGGGAGGGGAAGGGATGTCGCTGAGGTGAGGGGGAGCGGGGAGGTCTTTAAATCTGTGGTTCTCTGGGTAGAGTTGATTTCCCGTTTGTTTTTGGTCCATACCCTTGATGCTCGCGGCTTACTCCTGGCTCTGTGCTCAGGGATCACTCCTGATAGTCGTTCAGGGGACCTTATAGGGTGCCGACGATCAAACACGGGTTAGCCAGGTGCCAGGCAAGTGCCCTATCGCTGTGCTGAGTTGGTTTCTTCCTGCCTTCCAGTGTGGACACCAGGCACCTTCTCTTTGTGTCACCTGCGACTCAGCATTTTGTGTCCTTTTTGTTTTGGGGGTGCTACACCTGGCAGTTCACGGGGCTGTTCCTGGTCTTCGGGCCGTGCTTGGGGCATCGCCTGGGGTGCCAGAATTTGCTGGGGTCAGCAGGGTACAGGCCCTGTACAGCCTTGCCCTGTCTCCAATCTCTCCCAGGGTTTCCTAGTTTTCAGTCGGTGTTTTTGTTTCTTTTTACTTCCTTGGTTCAACTTATTTCTTAGTATTTTGTGATATTGTGAATGGAATTTTGTTATTTCATCTGCAGATTGCCCTTCATTTGTGTACAAAGAGGAAACTTGAGTTGTTTTGTTTTTTGTTTGGGGGTTCACACCCAGGGGTGTTCAGGGCTTATTCCTGGTTTGTCTCTGCTGGGCTCAGGGGACCATATGGAGTGCCAGGAATTGAACCGGAGTCAGCTGTGTGCAAGGCAAGCATCTTAGCCACTGTGCTATCTCCGGCCTCCAAGAAAACTTGATTTTTGAATTGATTTTGTACCCTGCACTCTGCCGAGGTCTTCCTTTGTGGCATACAGGTTCCCGCGAGCAGGGAGATTTTGCCTTCTCCCTTTCCCGCTCAGCTCCCTTCTTTGGTTCACCTGCCCAGTGGCTCTGGCCGGGTCCTTGTTGCCCTCACCCTTGTACAGAGACGGTGACACCATGTGGTCCTGGAACTGGCCAGAGCGGTGGCCAGTGTGAGGCGACCAGAGGCCTCGCGGGGGCTTTGGTGCAGCTTGTTGACCACATCACTTTAATACCTTTTTATTTGGGGGGCAGAAAATAAATGAGCTGATGAAAAGATCCAATGTCAGCCCCAAAGTGAAGGAACTCTTAGAGCAAATCAGCGGATTTGACAACGTGCCCAGGAAAAAGGCAAAGTTCCAGGTATGTGTGTGTTTGCTGGGACTTCAGGGAAGCTGGCTGCCGTGTGACAGTGGTGAGCGGCTCATCCTCTTTGCCTTCTAGAACTGGATGAGGAACAGTCTGAAGGTTCACAGTGAGGCAGTCCTGGAGCAGGTGTGGGGCATCGTCTCGGAAGCATCTGACGGCGTAAGTGGGGCTGCGGGAGGGGAGTGTGGCCGTCGGGTGGGGCTGGCCTTCCTTCCCAGGAGCCTCTGCCTCCTTATGGGAGGGGCCAGGCTGAAGGCATGGAGGAGAGAGGCGAGTCCCCTGCCCCGCTCCCGAGATGCACTTTGCTCAGAAATCAGGCAGCGGATTGCTGAGAGCTTTCAGACAGCGGGGAGGGGGCTTCTTGGCACGTGGCCCACCCGGGTTCCAGCCCCAGCACCCCGTGTGGTGCCTGAGCCCTGCCAGGAGTGAGCCCTGAGCAGAGCCAGGAGTCTGCTGGTGTGAGCGTGCAGGGTGAGACTGCTGCTGCGTGCCCGCTGCACGCCAGGCCCTGCACACACTCTCACTGCCGCCAGCCCGTCCTCCGGGCAGAGCTGAGTCTGCTGGGGGAGACAGGTAGTGGGGTGGGAGTTCTCCTGGCACCTTGACCGTGAAGGAGGGGGTTGGAAAGAGGCGTAGCCCTCAGGGACGGTCGGCGCTGCTGAGGAGAGTGGGGAGACATGCGGATGGGATCACTCACCAGTACAGGGGGTGGGTAGGGACTGCGCCTCCTCCCCGTGTGCAGCGGGGTCTGGGTCCGTGTCCATGTCGGGGCTCTGGGGACAGTGACAGGCATTTGCCAGCACTTGTTCCGAGCTGCGGGAAGGCCCTGTTGATGACAGATACTGGGTTTGAGGATGAGGCGGAAAGCCACCGCAAGCGGGGGTCTCTCTATCCCCCTCCTGCTCGGTCTGTGCCTCCCGCCCAAGTCTGGGCTTGTGGGAGTCCACTTGTGGCCTGCAGAGGCCGTGACTCCGCCCTAGCTGCTCTCGCAATGCTGCTCCTGCCACGGGGTACGGAGCACTGGTGGGGGAGGGTCTGCCTGGGGATACCAGGCCCCGATCCTTTATTTGCATCCTCTGGGGTCGGGCAGCAGGTTGTTGCCTGGCCACCTGGTGGGCCTCGGGTGAGAGGCAGCTTGGCCCACTATTTTTATTTGTGGGTTTTAGGGCACGTGCTTTGGTGCCCAGGGCTTCCTCCAGCTCTGTGCTCCAGGGATCACTCTTGCAGGGCTCAGGGAACCAAACAGTATCCTGGGAATGAACCCTGGGTCAGCTGCGTGCAGGGCAAGTGCTCTCCCCGCTGCAACCTCTCTGGCCGCCTGCTGGAGGTGCCGGGAAATCAGTCTGTGGTTCCATGCTTCCCCTCACGACCACCCCACTCTCCCCACCTTTCCTGCCCCTGCACGGCCAGCTCCTCTCTGTCCTGTGCATTGATGGCAGGTGACCCTGTGACCATCTCCCATCTCTCCAGATGTGGGAGTCAGTTCAGAGCAGATGCAGGAACCTGCCTTGTTTCTCCGGCTAGAAAAGACCCAAGCCAGATGGACCCTGAGCCAGGCCTGCAGCCGCTCACCTGGACTGACTGCCTCCGTAGTGCCCTGGGTGCCCTTTCTCCACACTCAGGGAAGGCTGTTGGCAGAGGGGAGTGGGCAGCCATGCTTCTCCCTCACTGGCCTCTCCCGCTGTCTGACCTGTGGGCTGGTGAGAAGTAAAAGGAGTTTGGAAACGGGTCTTGGAGTGGCTGCGTGGCGGTGCAGGGGTGTCTGGGGTGTGGGTGAGGGGTGCTGACACATCTGGGTTTTGCTTCTTAAGGATCTGGATGGTCACCAGAAGCCCCCTGGCCCGGTGGCCCACCCGCACACTGACAGTACCACCAAGACACCCTCTTCTGGTGCAGACGAGACGGCGGCAAAGTCCACAGAGGGGAAGAAGAACAAACGGGAACGGAAGGAGGAACGGCAGAAGAACCGAAAGAAAGAGAAGAAAGAGCTGAAATTGGAGAACCACCAAGAGAACTGCAAGGGCCAGAAAGCCAAGAAGCGCAAGCTGGACCCGGCGGCCGAGGCCGGAGGGGAGACCGAGCCCAGAACCACCGGCCCCACGGGGAAGAAGAAGCGGAAAGGCCAGCAGGCTATGAATGGGGGCACCTCCGAGGACGGGGCGCCCCAGGCCAGTGCGGCCAAGCGGAAGCGCAAGCACTCGGAAGGTACATGGCCAGTTAGCCGGGAGCGGGGGCTGGGTCAGTGGGTCCAGTGGGAGTTTCTGAGCCAGCGAAAGCCAAGAGCAGAGTGCTGGGCTGGGTGGGGTGGTGCGGGGCTGGAGGCACTGGACCCCGTAGGCCTCTCTGAGCAGTGCACACTGTCCCCTTGCCCCTAGCTGCTGTGCCCGTGGAAGCGGCGTTCAAGAAGAAAGAGGTCCAGGTGCCAGACCAGGCTGAGGATGGCGAGGCAGAAGACCACACAGAAGCACTCGCCCGAGGTTGGTATGGCAGCTCTGCCCCCCTGGGGGACTGCTGTCCTCTGCCCAGAGCCCAGAGCATGCGCTTGGCTCCCCTGCGCCCCACTTCGTGGCGGGGTTCTTCTGAGTCGACCGCGTTCATGACAAGCACCTTCCCCCCGTGCCATCTCTCCGGACCCACCGCAGACCCTGTGTCAGCTCTGGGGTCTTGCTTCTCTCTGGCCGGTTTTCAAACCTGTCCCTCCCCAGGTACCACCGTCTCTTGATCGCACTACGTCTGGCGCATTCCTCCTTGCTTCCTGGTTTCCAGAATTGTTTTCCTTAAGGAAGGATCCACTGACTTGTCCACTTGTCCCGGGTCTGGGGCTGGTGGGAGGGAGAATTGTTTGAGAATAATCTACGTGGAGAGGCCTGCTGGGATGGCGTAGGGGTTGGCAGCTTCTGCGAGTCGATTGGGTAGGGCCTGAGATGATGTAGAGTGGAGCGTCACCTGCGTGGCGCTTCCTGTCCACAAACATGTCAGGCCTTTCTCTGAGTTTACGTCTTTGACCTTTTGCACTTGCCCGTCAACTGTTGTTTTCTGGAAGCAGAAGTCCCCGAGAGGAGTCCGGCTGGACAGTAGGTCTTTGTCTCTCCTCTGGGCTCACAGTCACGCTCCTCTGTCTCATTGCTGGCTCACTGACATGCGTGGATGGTCCCACGGTTGTGGCAGCCGCTCTCTCTCTTCCTTTCCACCAGAGTTCGTAGTGCTGCTGATGGTGGGCACAGCTCTGCTCACCCCGTGGACAGCACGGGGACAATGAGCTTGCCACCGTCTTCTCCCGTAAGCTTGCCCAAGCCATGTTTCTCGTGTTCTAGGTAAATTCAACTGGAAAGGGACGATCAAAGCTTTGCTGAAGCAGGCGCCTGACAACGAGTTAGCTGTCAAGAAGCTAAGGAAGAAGGTAGGGCCCGGGGGGCAGAGAGATTGTGCAGTGGGTAGGGCGCTGGCCTTGTAGGTGGCCAACTCAGGTTCCGTGCTCGGCAGCTCAGTCCCCTGAGCACTGCCAGGAGAGATTTTTGAGTGCAGAGTCAGGAGTAACCCCTGAGCACTGCCGAATGTTGCCCCCCACCTCCACCCCCCCAGAAAAAAAGGGAAAAAGGGAAATGCAGTTTGTCAAGACCCATTAGTATGCCTGTGATGCTCAATGTCGGGGGTCTGCAGGGAGGGACTGAGCCAGACTCCTGACAGCCCCAACGGCAGTCGGTGGGGATAGGCCCCGCCCGCCTGCCTGCTGCCAGGGCCCTGATGTGCCCAGTGACCATGCCCTCCCCGCAGGTGCTCGCACAGTACCACACCGTGTCGGGGGAGCAGCACCTGTCTGAGGAGGAGCTCCTGGCCATCTTCAACAGGAAGATCAGCAAGAACCCCAGCTTGAAGTTACTCAAGGACAAAGTCAAGCTTTTGAAATGAACATTTTTTTATTTAAAAAAAAAAAACAGTGGAGTCCATGCCGTCCACTTCTTCCTCTCACTGTGGTTTGAGAAGTGCATCCTGAGTTACCACTCAGATCTTTCCAAAGAAGCCTTTTTAAGTTAAGTAAAATACATATTTTTGCTAGAACTTTTATGAGAAAATAAAATATTGTCTGAAATTGTAAAGTGGTGGTGGTGGTGAACTGAGTGTACTTGATTAAGGTGAGTCTGCATAGCTTCATGTAGAAATTCACTTGATTTGGGGGACCAGAGAGATAGTACAGTGGTCGGGGCATTGGCCTTACATGTGGCTGACCAGGTTCGCTCCATGGCATCCCATTTGGTCCCCCTGAGTACTGCCAGGAATGACTCTGGAGTGCGGGAACCAGGAGTAACCCCTGAACATCACACGTGTGGCCCAAAAAAACAAGCAGATGAGAAAAGAAATTCACTTGGTTTTGGCTCCGTTTGGCAGGGCCTAGGGGACCCTCTCAGGAGGGCCTGGGGGAACGTGTGGTATGGTACCCCACCTGTCCCCATACAGATGGCCCTTTGAGTCATCTCCCTACCTCCGGAAAACTCAGAATATGATAGGTAAAATCTATTCCCTTCGGTGTCATTTCTAAACACGTACAAATTTTTTGTGGGTTTGCATCACTAGCGTGAAACATGCATGAGTTGTGGCATTTCAGACATAGCGCGGACAGCTTGTGGGTGATCCAGTCCTGGCCAGTCTTCCACTCTCTAGAGCTCTGTGACAGTGTGGAAAGCCTCGCAGGGCGGGGTCTAGAGGGTCACTGCCCTCGATGCAGAGTGTCCCAGCTCTCTGACCAGACTCAAGCCAGTGCATTTGCTGAGAAGCACTGTGTTCACCTCTGGGTGCTGACCCGGATCCTTGACACCTGGCCTGCAGGTGAGAGGCAGAGCAGAGCCAGGGGGCAGGAGGGTGCTTGGGGCCAGTTCCTCCAGGGCAGGGTACGAGGCAAGCCCCGGCTGCTGTCCTATCTCACCAGCCCCCTTTCTGGTGTTGGTAAGAGCCTGGGTCCTCTCAGCCATGGACACCTGCTCTCCCTCCCGTTCCCTTTCTTCTTTCCCTTTCCTGCCTGACAAAAATACGATGTCGTATTGGGGGGGAGGGGGCAGGGGGGGTGTTATTCTTGACATGGATCGGGGGACAGTATGTGGTGCTGGGTATGGAACCAGGTCTAGCCATGTGTGAGGTGCTATAACCCCTGTACTGTTTCTCCAGCTCCCTTTTATTTTGAAGAGTCTGTGCCATGTTTTCGCCAGTTGGTGGGTATGTCGGTGGTCCCCGCCTCTTGGCCATTACAGTAATTAATGCTGACCTCACGCAATTTTGCGTTCCTGCCCTGTTGCTGTCACGTCTGGAGTCCTCAAGGCATGGGCAGTAACCGGACTCTGGTCTGCCCTGTTGGTCGCACTTTGGGGGATTCTTGGAGGGGTGGGTTTTGATACTCTTCTTGGCTTGTAGTGCCTGTACCCCAACCGCGTGGGAGAGGTAACCCCAACCTTTGGGGTGTTGGTGGGCACAGCCTGGCACGATGCTTTTCTGACACGTCTGTCTGGGACCCTCTGTCATGCCCAGAGGTGGTGCGAGTGGCAGTGAAACAACACGGGTTCCCAGCACGGCTCCACGCCACCAGTCATGGTCCACCCGCTGAGGCTGGGAACTGCCCAGTGGTACAGAACCCATACAATCACCCAGTATCATCCTCACATACGGTCTGAGCAGAGCAGCATCTAAGGGACAGGTCCCCACCCACCATCACTGGCACCTGCACACAAGCTACAGGGCCCGTCTGTAACGTGGAACCCTGTGGACATGTTCCCTGTCCACTCCGCCTCAGTCTCAGCTCCAGCCCAAACCAAATGCCAGCGTGCTAGTGCCAGCGTGTGTGGCTGCCCATTACCTAAACTTTCAAGTGTGAAACTTGTAATTGGAAACAAACTCCCAAGGGCCTGGGTATGTGGCCAGGGGTGAGGCCTGCTTTCTCGGTGTGTAAGGGCCTGGCTTCAAGCTCTTTCATACCACACGCACACTGGCCTTCTAGGTGTCAGGCCCTGGGTTCCCATCCTCAAACTCAGGGTTGCAGAGTGGGGAGCCCGGCTTGGTCTGTGCAACCCTACAAATGCCTTCATACTTACCGACTTAGCATCAGGACTCTCTCTCTCTCTCATTGTGGATTGCAATACAGGTAATGATAGGTTATCATATGTGTTGCTCTACCTCCTTTCAAATCTTAGGATGTGATTATACACTCAGGAGTCACTCCTGGCAGGATCAGGGAACTATATGGGATTCTGAGGATCGAACCCAGGTTGGCTGCGTGCAAGGCAAATACCTTATCCGCTGTACTATTTCTCCAGCCCCCATGCTGTTAATACGGATCTCACAGCTTGTCTGTTGGTCATGGCAATCTCATCTGTCCTACCAAGGGTTACAGTCAAATTCCTTTGCCCTAAGCCCCAAGTAATCCCCACGAAAACTAAACTTCTTTGATTGCAGCAATCTGATCTCATCAATCTATCATGAAGGCACATAGTACACACTTTGAAGGACTAGCTCAAGGAGCCCCAGCAGTGACTATGTCGTCATTAAGTACATTTTTCAACTTGCTTTCAAGTATCGATACTGCGTGCAAGGAATGTCATTTAATATTGGGGAGGGGGTTAAAGCTGGAAGGGTTTCAGATATAGATACAAAGGCCCCGAAACCTCCACAGGGGAAACCAGATGCTGCCTGAATATACTACATATGGAAGCCTGGAATCACTGTCATCTCCTGGGAATATTTGGTTACAAGGGAGACCCGGCTCTGACCCTTTTAAAAGGAGACAATCAACAGAAGACTCTGCCAGGAGAAATTTACTTCCTGCTAACAAGGCTTCGAACCCTGTATAAGGCAAACAAGAGGGAGGCCAAAGACCCCAGTTGGCTTTGAAGAGATGAACTCTGATTCTTTAGGAGTCTGAAAAGAAAGAAGCCAAATAAGAAAAAGGAAGCATTGTGTAGCACGGCCATATGATCCACCCCGCCGTTAAGTCCTTGGCTCTAGAGGATTTGCTAGAAAGACTGAAGCAACTGTAAGTACACCGGTAGAAACGACATTCTTATCTTGAGTATTTCTTTTCTTTTTGTGTTTTGGGGCAGTGTGTTGGGCCAGTATGTTGCTGAGGATCCAGCTCTGGCCTCAGCATGCCCCTGAGCCTTGGGCTAGCTCTCTAACACATTTTTTTTTTTATCAAATATCCATGACATATAGAAGCTATTAAAGAGGGTAGGGGCCGAAGTGATAGTACAGCGGGCAGGGCACTCGCCTTGTCTGTGGCTGTCCCAGGTTCAACCCCTGGAAACCCTTATGGTCCCTCAAGCTTACCAGGAGTGATCCCTGAGTGCTGAGACACGAGTAAGCCCTAAGTGCGGGCCAGGTGTGACCCCAAGCCCTACGAATAAAATTAAATAGAAGGGCCTGCTAGGTCATCTAGATTTCGAGTCAAGTGTGGGCTTTCTGGGTTAGATTTTCCGGCAACGTGGCCGTTCTTCCTGCTTCGGCACCCGCTCCAAAACCAACTGCTTTCTATTGAGGCACAGCGCTGGGCGCGGGGATTTATCAGGGCACTGGGCTGCACTGATCTTTTCCACTCCACGCTAAGGTGGCTCTGCCCTCGGCTTGCATTTGCACGTGCACGGTGCTTGCAAAACGTGGAACGAATGGGAAACGCAACCCTGCAAGTTTTCCAACCTGTACTTCGCCGTGGCCCGTCCCTGTAGGTCATTTTGCTGGGGGGGGTGCTCCAGCGCCAGGCGGTGGCGGTCTGAATCTCAGCCCAGGAACGGCCACGAACGCCTCTTCCCAGCACCCTGGTGGGAAGGCGCAGGAGGACTAGCCGGCGCGCAGAGGCCAGGCGCCGTTTGTTTCCGAGCCCGAGACGGAAAGCTCGAGCAGAGCTCTCTTCTCCGTGGGGCGCGCGGGAGCGAGACGAGCGGGAGCGGCTCATCTGCGGCCCGACGCACCGGGGACCGGGCTCGTGCCCAGCGCGGCTGCAGCAGGGGCCCGCTGCCGCCCGCTGGGCGCACACGTGGGCTCCCGTGGGTCGCGGCGTGCGGCGCGGGGCGCCGGCCGGGAAGGCGCTGGCCCGGGCACGCGCCCCCATCCCTCCCGCGGCGCCTTGGACTTCCGGCCCCGGCGACCCGGCCGGGCCCGGCGGGGCTGACGTCACTTCCGCCCGCTTCCGCCCGCCCCAAGATGGACGCCCCCAGCGCCCGGGCGCAGCTCCGCCGGCGCTACCTGCTGGCGCCCGACGCCGAGGCGCCGCCGGACGGCCAGGGCCACGCCGGGTCGGGTGAGGCGCAGCCCCGCGTCGTGCCGCGCCGCCGGGAGGGGACAGGAGGGTCAGGAAGACGCTGAGCCCGGGCGCCCTCCTCCGGGCCGCCTTCCGGGACCGCGCGGGGAGCCAGCACCCGAGCAGTGAAGAGACCCGCCGGCGACAGCTCCGAGACTCTGCGGGGGCGGGTCCGAGTCCGCCCGGCTGGGGGCAACCCCGCTTCCCCGGGACGCCCCGGGGGAGCCCGGGGGGGCGCAGGAACGGGCGTCTGGCCACGGCCCGACCCCAGGTGCCCGCTCAGCGGCAAGCGCTCGCGGCCTAGCAGAGTCGGGGGTTGCGGGGCTGCTTCTGCACGGCCCGCACGGGCCTGTTTGAGACGGCCGAGCCTCGACCCGCCGACCGGTGTGCGTAGCAGCCCCGGAAGAGAGCGGAGGTGGGGAGAGCGCGAGGCGTGCAGGAGGCCCGGTGGGGCGGCACCCGAGGCTGCCCGAGCAGAGTCCGGAGCCTTCCCCGAGCCACGCCAGGCAGAAAGCAGCAGGAACCGCCATGCCCGCACGCTGGCTTGGCAGTTTCCAGGGCATTGCCCAGGGTCTTCCTTCGGCACCGGCTTTCCCGAGGCTGCGGCTCGGACCAGGCAGGAGAAGCCGCCGAGTGTGCCAGCCGGCCTCCCGCAGGGAAAGCAGCGTCAGTGATCTGGGGACGCTTGCTGGGGAGAGCCCGGTGCCCCAGCCTCAGCTCCCTGTCCGTCAGTCTGCCAGGCTACACCCCACGGCCCCTGACCTCCCTCACAGCACCTCCTGGTCTTAGTTTTGGTGGTGGCCCCAGTCGTCAGAGTTCCCTCATCCGAGTCTCCTCCCAGACCTCAGAGTCCTCTCCTTGTTCCCTCTTTCCCCTTACAGCATAGCTATATAGAAATCATGAAGGGTGGGGGGACGCGTAGGTGGGGTTGAACATAGTCACAGTGACAAACAGAGGTAAAGCCACTCCTTCAGGGAAAGTCCTCGGAGATTAACTCAAGGACAAGGGCTCATCTGAGGGGTCAGCGCTCCGGGTTACTCAGGCGGGATTTTATCCAGGGTGTGTTACTTTCTCCCTTCCTCAGCCAGTAATCCCTTTAACCAATCATAGGAAATTTGCTTCTTATTTATATTTATAGTCATTTTGTTTGAACACAGTAAGAGATATATTAAGCTTAAAGGTGGCTCTTCCTGGGGACATCTTGCTATAGATCCCGAACTGAGTCCTCAGGCCAGGTTAGTCTTTCCTAATTCCAGCAGGGTCCTTATTCAGTTACTTCTTTTTGGGTCATGACAGAATTTGTCTCACGACCATGCTCTTATTATACTTATCTTGTTCCCTTTCGATGCCAGGGTAGCTTACAGCTTGCTGTGGGGTCATCTAGTCCCTTTGTCGGGACCCTGCTCTGGGGAGTATCAGGAAGTAGGGCAACTGAGGCTTAAGTAAATATGATGGATGCCCAGGAGTAAATATTACTTGGATTCAATTAACCCCCATGGTACAAAAGCACAGCATCAACTGTCTTCCTGTGTCTACAAAAAGGCCATTGCTAAACCATGCAAATGACATAAAGAGAAAAGCAATATCGGATTATTAGTGCTTGATGGAATTGATGTGCCTCAGGGACACTATTGTGGGAGTGGCTAAGTAAACCTGAAATCCCTGTGGAAGGAGCAAGGACAGCCCAGTGTTACCCAACACACAGCAGTCTCAGGAGTTACTCCTGGCTCTGCTCTCGGGAATTACTGGTGCTTGGAGAACCATATGGAGCACTGGAAATCAAACCTGGGTTGGCCATGTGCAAGGCAGCTGCCCTCCCCACTCCGGCCCCCACCTCTTATAGTTTTGAGCTACTTCAACAGGCCTTGTTTTGTTAAAATACTCCTAGAGGTTGGGGTATGGTGCCGCCAGCAGGTCATTCTATACCTGTGAGGAGAGTGCATCAACAGCCTGATGGTGCCTTCAGACTTCTAGATACCCCGCAATTGCTGCTGTGCAGCAATTGTTGAGGCCAGACCCCAACAACTTAGGGCCGAGTTTACCAAGAAAGTAAACGGCCAAAAGTTAGGTATGTGGGAGACACACTCACAAACCACCTCTGGCTCAGCTATATAATTGGAGGCAAGGCTTCTCTGGTTCCTGATTAAACTTCTTAACGACCATGATCCCAGAGACTCAGAAACAAATCTTGGAACCCAGCAGCTTTTGGCAGAAATGCGTCTGGTCCCCACAGTAGGCTACCAGCACCAGTCCACCCCGGGGGAAAGGGTGCTGTCACTTCGCGTGCTCCCGCTTGGCAGCTCAGTGGCTGTCATCCTCCAGAGGCCATTGGACAGTCAGGTTTGGGCCCACAATGATGAGACACATGGGACCTCATGGGATCGGGGTGGAGCTGGCCTTTTCCTTCCTGCCCCAATGAGACCCCGAGTCACCACCCATGAATGGCCTCTCTGGTTCCTCATCAAACTGCTTGATGGCCATGATCCCAGAGACTCAGAAACAAATCTCAGAACCCAGCGGCTTTTGGCAGAAATGCATCCGGTTCCCACAGTAGGTTACCGGCTCTGGGCCACCCCAAATGGGAAGAGGTTTCATGCCTTGGCCTGTTCCCCCTGGCAGCTCAGTGACCACCATCCTCCAGAGGCCATTCGACAGTCAGGTTTGGGCCCACAGTGATGAGATACACAGGGCCTCATGGGATGGGCGTGGAGCCAGCCCTTTCCTCCCCGCCCCAACGAGACCCTGGGTCGCCGCCCATGAATGGCCTCTCTGGCTCCTGATCAAGTTGCTTAACGGCCATGATCCCAGAGACTCAGGAACAAATCTCGGAACCCAGCAGGTTTTGGCAGAAATCCCTCCAGATTTAATTGGTAAAATTTTGGATTCCAAAATTGTATGTTATTCATAACCAGCAATAGAAAATAAATTGTCTATGGTTTTAAAAAATTACTCCTGTAGGGAGTTTTAGTGTTAGTTTTGGAAAATCTACAAATGTGTTTCCCTCTGTATTTTTTGTAAGAGAACTAATCATCTAGCATGAACTATGAAGCGTAAAATTAAGATTTTTACTCTACCAAGTTACTGTTCTTTTTTAGAAGCTGATTGTATAAATTTAATGTCAGAGTTCATTTGGGGGGGGGAAAAGTGGGTAACATTAGAAATGTTATAGCATATTTCTATCATTTCTGCAAAAAAATACATTCTGATTTTTTTTTTGGGAGAGGGGTAGTTTAGGGCATGTGAGGTGGTGTTCAGAGACCGCTCCTGGCTCTGTGCTCAGGTATTGTTCCTGGGGGTACTCGGGACCATATGCAATGCCAGGGATTGAACCAGTGTCAGCTGTGTGCTAGGCACTTATTCCCTGCACTGTCTCTTCGGCCCTGACTATGATGGTTTACAGAAGATATTGATGCTAGGATGCGAAAGAACCTTTTCTTAGAAACACTCTAAGCAATGTTTGGCTTAAAGGAGGCATAATTTTTCATCACGTGCTTATAATTACCCAATAAGTTGAAATCTCTATTTGCAGAAATCTCCACAGCCGTTGAGAAAAAGGAGAAACCTCTCCCAAGACTTAATGTCCATTCTGGATTCTGGATTTTGGCATCCATCGGTGTGACTTACTATGCAGATTTCTTTAAAACTGTTAAAGAAAACATTCACACTAATAGGTAAGAGGACTGGTTTGTTTCTAAGTTGAATCCCCTTGGCAGTTGTTTCGCGTTTTGGCAGTTGAAGGCCCCAGAAGTTTCCTAAGCTCCTCCTTTCCGCCGGCCACGTGTTGGAGGGGCTGTTCCTGCTGAGTAGGGAGGGTGCGCGCTGTGTGGGGGGCAGGATGCCCGAGACTGGAAATCTTTGCCCTGGTTCCATGGGAAACGGAGAGTCTGAGGGACTCCGAGAGGCCTTTCTGAAGGGAATCCAGGAAGTCTGGTAGGAAGCTTAGAGCGCCAGGGTACAGAGTTGAGTCAGTTGAAGAGGGACAGCATGACCGCTGGGAGGCGCTGGGAGCACCGAGGATGTCAGATTCCCTCAGCCGTGTCAGATCCCTCCTCAGCCATGTCAGGTCCCCTCAGCCGGGAGGATGCCTCCAGGTGATCTCTAGCGGAGGTGGTGGGGTGAACTGTTTCCCAGAGCCCTCACTCAACATTTGGGCTGCACATCCCCAGATAGAGAACAAAGGGGGAGTTACTGGTTGTCCTTGGAGAGGAGTGGCTGCGGGTGGAGTACTTAGGTGGGTCCCCCAAGGCTGGGCAAGTGAAACAGGGTGCCGTGACTCTGTCACCAGGCTGCTCCGGTTGGTTTGGGACCTTTCATGAGCACATCGGGTCCCCATGGTCGTCCTTTCCTGTGTTTTGGTGTCATCCTCTGTGTATTTACTGAAGGTCTGCGGTGCTCTGTCTCTCTCGCCGCTCGTGTTTGGTGTCTCCGCCGCTTCCCCTACCCCAGGGAGGCTGATGGCGATGGGTAGGTGAAGGAAGTTGCAGTGTATTCCATTCCCGTCTCCATTCTCCGGTTCTCCTCCTGCTTCTTCTTTCCCCATGCTGCTTCATTCTTCTGAGTCCCCCTTCATTCTCCTTCTCCCTCTCCTTGCCCACTCTTACAATCTGGTTAAATCCTGAAGCATCAGGGGTTGGGGCTTACACATAGGTGTGGTTATAATCAACAGGGGTAAAGTCCTTCCCTCAGGGGAAGTTTCTTCTAGGACAGATACTTACCCAGCAAGAAGACTCTCCCAAGACTGAAATTTCAATTATGGGTGTGTTTCTCCTTTCCTTAGTCCAAGAGCCCGGCAAGCTACCGAGAGTATTCGATACGCCAGACACAGTAACAACAAAGTCTCCAATGGAGACGTTACTGGGCCCGCTCGAGCAAATTGATGATCAACGGGAGGGCCTTTACCTTTACCTTTTACCTTAATCATTGTATGGACACAGTAAGAGATATATTAAACTTATAGAATTGCTCTCCTGGGGCCATCTCGATCTCAGACTACAGAGCTCTGGCCAGATTAATCTTTCCTATCCCCAGCAGAGTCCTAATCTCGTTGTTACTTTTGGATCATGACAGCATTTGTACATGACCATGCTCTCAACTTATAGTTGAGTATTGTGGCGCTTTGGCCTGGCCCATTTCAGTGCCAGGGTAGCTCACAGCTTGCCCTGAGTCCATTCAGTCCCTTGTCGGGACTCTGCTTTTGGGATGGTAGGAACTAAGGGTAACTGAGGCCTAAGTTGAGAAAGCAGATGCCTTGAAGTGAATATTATTCGGAGTCAGTTAACTCCCAAGTTACAAAAGCAAACTATTCACTATCTTCGGTGTCTATACAAAAAGCACATTGCTTTAAAGTGAACTATGCAAAAGGACATAAGAGAGGAGAAAAACAATATTTCATTCACAAATATAAAAGCGTAGATTTCTGAGGAATCTGACCTTACAAGTTAACAGATTCTGGTTAGGGGGAAAAGCTGATTAACTGGTTGGGGAGGAGAGCATAGAGAAGAGTTTACAGATAAGCACAGAGGAATGGAAGTGCCTCAGGAGCACTGTGATAAACATGAGCTCCCTGTGGCAAGGGAAACAGGGCATGCCAATGTCATCCTAAAATGTTTAGAGCTGCATTCCAGTAAACATGGAGGAATGGAGGTGCCTCAGGAGCACTGTGATGGGCATCACCCAGTGAACCTAAACTCTTTGTGGCAGAGGAGGATGGACATACCAATGTTATCCGGCAATCCCCCTTCACCCCCGCCTCTTGTGTAGCCTCCTGAGAGCTGGAGTCTCTGCGGGCCCCTGGGGCCCGTTTCTCCCCTTAGGAAGGGGATTCTGTTCTCTTAGTGGAAATGGCTGCCCAGGCCTCGGGTCACCGGCGCCTCTGTCACCCTTGCCTCTGCAGCTGGATTCTCTGTGGTGGCGCCTTGCTGCTCGTCAGCCTGTCGGTCGCCTTCTACTGCATCCTCTATCTGGAGTGGTACCGTGGGATTGAGGACTACGATGCCAAGTATCCAACCCTCATCCCCATTACCACTGCGACCTTCATTGTCTCAGGGCTCTGGTAAGTGCACCAGATGGCTCCTGGGGTGGGGGTGGCTGGTGCTGGAGAGGGAGCGTGACTGCATGCATTGCCAGCTGTGGCCCCAAGCCCACCCCAGAGGTGTTTGAGCAGGCCATAATGTGTATGGTATAAAACTCAGAGGAGGGGCCTGGGTGGTAGGACAGTGGGGAGGGTGCTTGCTTCGCACACCACCGACTTGGGTTCGATCGTCTGTATCCCGTACGGTCCCCTGAACCCTGCCAGGAGTGATCCCTGAGTACAGCACCAGGAGTAAACCCCGAGTGTAGCCAGATGTGGCCCCAAACAACCCCCCCCCCAAAATAAAAAGAAATTGCGTGGTGGCAGAAGGTGGCAGGCAGGCTGTGGGGTGGCGGGAGAGACCCACCGTGTGTGTTCAGGGGTACGGGTTCGATCCCCACCACTGCACGCGTGAGCAGCTGAGACCCCTGACACCACATCTAAGTGCGTGGCCAAGTGGGTGCAGGAGGAAAGGAGCCAGGATCTAGTCCCCCATTCCCAGAGTCTCTTTGCGCATCTTTATTTATATCATCGTTTGTATTGCACCTAATTGTGCCTATGATCCTTGAAAACACAAGGGCTCAGGGACCAGAGAGAGTACAGGTGCAGGGAGTGCAGCCTCTCTGTGCCCCACAGGGTCCCCCGAGGATCGCTGGCTACTCTGTGCCTCCTTAGACGCCGACATGGAACTGCACTGCCGGCCCAGGCGGCAGCACCTCTTTAGATGCTGGCATTGACCTGCTGGCCCGGTTGGCTGACAGTTGCTGGTGGTGCCCCACAGACCCGGGCACTGCCTGGGAGCCTCCCAGAATAGTCTCCATGTGTGGTCACATGCTTTCTGACGGCTGCGCTGTGCTGTCCCAGTCATCATCCATGTAAGTCACTGAGCACAGCTGAGTGACTCTCCAGGGAGCACTGGCAGGAACCCCGGCAGGCCCGGCCAGGGGCCGTCCTGGCACCCTGTAGCCCCTTCCTCCCCCGCCAGGCCACACGTGTGGGTCTTGGCGGCCATTCTGTGTCTCTGAGTCTCTGTGCCCTTTCCTCTGGATTCTGGGCATGTCGGGCAGCAGGTGGTTGGGCAGGCATGCGCAGAGAATGGGTCCTTGGCACTGAGCAGGGTGGCCCCACGGTTGGGCACAACTGATTGTTTTCGGGGACCCACACCCACTGCACTCCGGAGCTACTCCCGCCCGGGGCTGGGGTTACTCCCCTGCAGTTCTCGGAGGCGGTGCCCAGGGCCATGCTCCCAAGATGCTCTGGATGCAGGGGGAGGCCATGAGGATGGATCAAATAAACACCTCCTTTTCTTTCAAAGGAGCCTTGTGATTTGCAATTTGGAATTTGGAATTCTGGTCGTGTCAGTGTGCCACTTCCTTATCACTGCAAGGAACGGGCTGTAATTTAGTAATTAATTAACTCAGTGGTTTGGGAGACCGCACCAGCCAGCGCTCAGGGATGACTTCTGCTTTGTGCTTCTGGTTCAGGGGTTTGAACAGCTGGCCATGCCCTGGTCACCGACACAGGCTGGTGAAGGTCACTGGCTGATGGGACCCTTCCAGCACGAGCAGAGGCTGAGCACTTTGACCTGAGTCAGCATGGGCACGTCTCTACAGGTCTCAGCCACCGTTGTCACCTCTGTGTCTGTCCTTCCCTTTCAGCTTCAACGTGGCCCTGTGGCACGTGTGGTCCATCTTCACCCCACTCCTGCTCTTCACCCAGTTCATGGGGATTGTCATGCTGGTCTCGCTCCTGGGGTGACGGCGGCAGGTGAGACTTGGGATGACGGTGTCCCGAGGAAAAGGGATTCATGGGGGAGCCCTGCCCATGCCAGCTTGGAGCCGGGGGCCGCAGAAACACACTCGTGAGTCCTTTCTGCTACATCCACAGCCAGAGCTGCTCACCTGTGAGCACTGCGCGCTGAGGGGGACAGAGGCCCCTTCCCTGTAACCGACGCTTCACCGGCTGCTCCTGTGCCTGATGCCCGTGGCCTGCGTCCAGACTGTCATGGCACTTTTAGTCTGGAGCGTTCCTGGGCTGGATGCTCTTCCCTTTAAGGGAGCCGCCCCCGGCCCACGGAAACCGCCACTGGCCAGATGTCCCAGGAGAAGGGAGCTGAGGAAGGACAGGCAGTGTCTCCCGGGGCGCGTTGCATCTGCTGGTCTCCCTGAAACACGTGGTGGTTCCTTTCGAAGATTTGGGAGTTTCTGCCTCTGGCAGCCTGTGCTTCTCACAGCCCTGCATGTCACTTCCTCCAGAAGTGGAGCGAAATGTGGCTCAGTCTGGAATATCAAAACCCAAAACCGAGGCTCTCCAAAGAGGGGTGGGGAGGGAGTGGGGGTGGAGAGGGAGAGAGAGAGAGAAAGAGAGAGGGAGGGAGGGAAGGAGGGAAGGAGGGAGGCACCTGTCAATAGAGGCAGGTGGGGGGTGATGGGAAGGAACCTGGGGTCTTGTGCTGGGAAATGTGCGTGGGTGGAGGGATGGGTGTTGGAACACCGTATGACTGAAATCCAATCATGAACAGCTTTGTAAGGGTCTGTCTCACAGTGATTCAATAAAAAAGTCACAAAAGTAAAATAAAAACTGAGACTCAGAGGAGACAAAAGGTCACACAGTCAGGTCTTGGGGTGCAAAGACATTGCACAGAACAGCCAGCACGGCCTCTGTTTGGCCTTCCCAGAGGCTGCTCTGGCGGTGGACAGACGGACGGCCTGGCCCTCCCCGCCTGTGCTCGGGCCTTAAGCTGTGCTTGGGGGCAGGCGGCCGGTGCGCCCTCTGTCCCCGCTGGCCCGGCCCCTGCCTTCCTCCTAATGCTCTCGGCTTTGGGGTTCAGTCTTAAGGTGTCACACCTCGGGGCTGGTGTCAGGGAGCCGGCAGTGGGTCCCTGTGTGTTTTCATGGGAAATCGCCACCAACGAGTCCCTGTGTGTTTGTGTCCAGGTGCGGCCCTGCGGCTGGGCGTGAGTGAGCCCTGCGCCCAGGGGGAGAGGAAGAGCGACCGGTGGCTTGTTTGCTCTGAGAAGTGAGCATCCTCTGGCAGCCGTGACCGGGCTGCACGAGAGGGCAGAATGAAGCGTTCCTTGGCACATTCTACAACCGAGGGGATCACTGAATGCTTGAGATCCAAAACAGAAGCATTGTGTGCAGGAGAGAGCTGTGCCTGTGTGAGTCCCTGCAGGCAGCATGGGTGTGCGGTGTGCCCTGCCGTGGACCCACGTGGCAGCTGTCCCAGGACTTCATCTTTATTGTTGATGTTCTGATTTCCCATCTGTGGATATTACTGTTAGAAATTATTGCATTTTTAGCACTGGGTTCTCACTTCGGTCATCTTGTGTATAATTCTTTTCCCTAACACTTAAATAAAATATTTTTCTAACTTTCCTGTGCTCTGATGAATACCGTCGTTGGAAGACTTTATTTCCAGCCCTGTGCCCCTTGTAGAGACCACGGAGCTCGTGATAGGAGTCTGCACTTCCCAGGGCAGTTGCATGTCCTTTAAGGTGAATGTTGCCAGCCGCTGACCCTGGGATGTCCCCTCCAGCCAGGGCTGCCCAGGATTCAGGCCTTGCTGCCTCCCCACTCCTGCCCTCGCCCCTGCTCCCATCTCTCCCCCCACCCCCACCCCACCCCGGCTGGTGCTGCTCCAACTGTGAATGGCACAGCTGCTGCAGGGCTGTGGGTGACCAGCTATGTTTAAACCACCGGCTTGGGCCTGGCCCCGGAACTCAGTAAGTGGAGGGAAGGAAAGACTGAGCAGTTGGGCTGGGGCTGAGCAGGGGCAGCGTGTGGGCGCGTGTGTTAGGGACGGCAGGAGTGTTGCATCGGGGTTAGCACTTGAGGTCAGGCAAGATTAAAGTTGGCACTGCGATGTGTGAAGGTCCAGCAGGAGCCCTGGGAATTGGGGGAAATGTTGCTCACATCCGCAATTGCATGTGTGTTAGGGGGCCCGGGGGTAGCACTGGGCAGTGCCCCAGGACGACGCCCCCCATGAGGCGCGAGGGCTCCTTTCCACAGCGCCCCAAGGCCAGGCTGGGGCTTCTGGTTCTCTTGGTGGAAACCCAGTTGTCTGAGTGCCAGGCCTCAGCATGTGCTCCTTCTGCAGGGCAGGCTGCACTGCCCAGTGGGTTTGTGTCTCTCAGATGCTGGGGAGTCCCGGGTTCCATTTGCTGGAGGGCGCCGGGGGTTCCACCGCTGCAGACACACCTGGGTGTGGGCATGGCAGGGAAGTAGGTGGCGGGTAGGAGTGTGAGATGGAGGTACAGACATACTGAGGGGTCCCTGCGTCTGGCTGCTCACACGTGAGCCCACGCTCTCGGCTGTCACAGCTGTTCAGCTGCCGGCCCCGAGTTCTTATATAGATATATATTTTTTCTTTTTTCTTTTGTTTGTTTGTCCCGAGGTTCTGGTTCATTTGACAAGCATGACTGCCTCTAAGAGGCTTTTTTCAGCTGATTCTAAGGAGCAGCTTGGGTGGGGTCCAGGGGGACGTCTCTGCACTGGCAGGCAGAGGCACGGGCTGCCTCTGGGGGCCGAGCCCCGGCAGGAGTGGGGTGGCAGTGGTCCCTGCAGACCGTGGGAACGAGCCTCTCCCCTCTGACTATCCACCCCAACCAGAGGGTCCCAAACAGTCTGAGCCTACTGCCCTGCTTTCAGCAGCTGAACTCCACAGCCCATCAGTCTAAGGAAAACACACTGTCTTGAACACACACCCGAGGCTGCTGGTGTCCCCTCTGGACCATCCCAGTACCCACCCCAGGGGGGCATCTGCTCTGAACCCCTGTGGAGAAGATTGGTCTAGACCTTGGGCATCAGGATGCTCGGCCCTGTCACAGGGGTTCAGCATGGGGACAGGCTCTTGGACCACCTGGTGGGCGAGAGGGAGGAGGCGCACATGCCCGGCCTTGGGAGAGGTTCCTGGGGGGTCACGCATCCCCCCAAATGCTGGCCTTGTACGCTGTCCCTGACGCAGCAGGAGTTTCAGCAGAGTTTCCTGATGTTGGAGGGCTTGGGGAGCGTGCCGGATAGTGCCGCCGGCCGTGGCCCTGGCCATGCTGCGTAGTGAGGCGACGGGACCGGCAAGGCCTGGAGAGGCCTGAATCCCTTACAGCGACAAGAAGGGTTTCCTCTTGGGGAAGTGTCTCATGCAGCACCACCGTGCCCTGACCCGGGCTGTACATGGGCGAAGGCTGGAGGCACTTCGGCACGCACCGGCCCTCACCTGACTGCCAACGCTCGTGGCTGGGCTGGAGAGAAGGGATGTGCTCTTGAGTAGAAATGGTTGGTAGGACATGAGCCTGAGCTGGAAGCTGCTTGCAGAGGGGTGGGTGGGTTAGACCCAGACGGTTCAAGTTTGCATTATGACCCGCCCCCGCTGCCTTCATTGTCTCTCCAGCCCACACTTACGGACATGCTCCCCATCACCTTCCACGCCTGTAGGGCCCTTAGGGAAGGAGTTGAGCGAAAGCCTCTCCAGCTGCTCTCAGAAGCTCCCGGAGCTCCTGTAAGCCGCTTGCAGACTACAGTCTGCTCAGTGACTCTCCTGAAGGGAAGTTTGGGGAGGAGGGGAGAGTTGGGTGATATCTCCCCAGGGAGTCAGAGGGACCCTCTCCCGTGAAAGCTCACCAAAGTCACCCCTGCCAAAGAGGGGGAAGAGGCGTGTTTTGGGGCTGGCCCCTATCGGGGTGCAGGGATGGCATCCATGCACAATACAGACGTTTCCCTCCCTCCCTCCTTCCCTCCCTCCCTCCCTCCCTCCCTCCCAAGTTAGCCCGTGCTGAGTCCAGGCCCCTGGGCTGGGAGGCAGCCATAAGGGACTGCTCCTGCTCTGACGGGTCTTGAACTCCTGCCTGTACCTGCGTGGGCACATACAGCTTTCACCCATGGAATATTCTGGAATTGAGGCTTGGGGGTCATGCAAGGTTGACCAGGCCCTTCCACTTCTGCTAGCTCTCCTGGAAAGCAGGGTGGGGTGTCCAGGTGTCCCCTTCTGCTATGTCGCAGCCCAGAGCTGTGGGAACTTAAAGCCACATGCAGAGCTCTGGTCCGCGGTCTCAGGTGGACTCTGGATGTGAGCCCCGCGGCACAGCTGAAAAAGAGGGGAGCAGTGGCAGGGAGTGGGGGTGGGGCGCAGATGCAGACATGAGTTTTCTTTGTTGTGTGTCCAGAGATTTGCATTTCATGGCGTGTCAGAAAAAAACAGGCGTGCCCAGCGAGCTTCCCGCCGAGGGCTGCGTGCAGGTCGCCTCTGCTCTGAGGGAAACAGGCGCTTGGCAGAGTGTGGTGGATTAGCCCGCCATGGCTTTCTTACTGCACCCACATTGGGGGTTTGGAGGGGCACATGCAGCCCATAGGAGAAGGGAGAGAAAAGGGAGGGGCTTTGTGAGCCAGACTTGGGGCTCGAGGTGCCACCTGGGCCTGCACCCCACAGACCAGAACTTGGTCACCAGCCCCTCCTGAGTACCCGTTCCAGAGTGGGTGGGACATACATATGGACAGCTGGTGCACAGTCAGCTTCTTTGTACCCCTAATGCGTGTTGCCTGGTCTCCTGGGAGAGGTGCAGGGGATGGAACCTGACTCAGACCTGTGAAGGATAAGTGACCCCCCCCCCCGCCCCTTCATTCCCCAGGGTCTTATGTTCTTGGTGCTTGATGGCAGGAACGTCCTGAGTATTTCCCTGATGCCTGAGAGGCAGCACAGGGCGCTCGCGTGCTCATGGCTGATGCTAGTTCCATTCTCAGCACTGCATAGGTCCAGGCATGATCCCTGAGCATTTAGCATTAGGAGTAAACCCTGAGCAACGCTGGGTGTGCCCCCCCCCCATACACCCAGGCAGGGAAAACAAAACCCGAACACCCCAAAGTATTTTATCTAGTTTTTATTTGTTTGTTTGTTTGTTTTGGTTCCCATTCTGGCTCTGCACTCAGGAATCACACCTGGTAGCCCAAGGACCATATGGGATGCTGGGAACTGAACCCAGTTGACAGGGTTGGAGGCAAGCACCTTACCCTCTGTGCTATCCCTCCAGCCCCAGGTCCAAAGTATTTTATCTGTATCCTCTCATCAGCTTCATGGACACGTCTGAGAAGGGCTGGCAGAACCGTGAGGTTTAAGAACAGGCCTAAGAGACCCAGAAATCGTGGATGTGGAGAGGGAAGAAAGCAGGACCCCCTGATGGGGTGTCTGGAGATGAGAGACTGCAGGCCCATCTGACTCCCTCCAAGCACGTGGGCATGGCCCCTCTAAACCCAGCCCACTGATGGACCTATTGCTCCTTGCTGCCCCCCCCAACACACACACACACACACACACACACACACACACACACACACACACACACACACACCAGCTGCCTGCTTTGCTCACCTGCGGAGAAGGCTGGTCTTCTCTGAGGGTGTAGAGGCTTCAGCTCCTCTGGAAGCCTCCCTTCCAGCAGTCCAGCAGGACTCTTGAAGGAGTGACCGAAACAGGAATCAGAACCAGATTAACCCGGCCCCTCCACACCCAGGACCTCCCTAGACGACTCCAAATGGGAATACTGGGTTTTCCTGTTCAAAGCAAGCAAGGCGGCACCTGGCTTGATGTCAGGAAGCCGGCGGAATCCCTGGCGCTGTCTGCGGTCTCCTGCTGCGCGCTCCCCACCACTCCCTCCCTCCGTCCCGCTTCTGCGTCCCATCCTGCGTCCCGTCCTGCACTTGGCGCATCTAAGGGGCGCCCCCTTGGGCAGGGCTCTGGCAGCTGCGACTCGAGGTGCTCCACTCATCAGGAAGCAGCTGCCTTTTCCTTATTCCGAGAGATATCTGTCCTGGGACGCTGCGGGATTTACTCCGCACCCGGCAGATCCTGCAGACACGCGGGCAACCCAGACAGATACACGCAACCCGGGTTCACTACCCTTGGCTCAGCTCCAGAGAGGAGAGCGACCCTCTGTCCGTCGCCCAGGCCAGCCAGACACACGGACAGACTGGCTGTGACCCTCACGGAGAGAACGTGGCAGAGAGGACAGCCCAGCCCTTGGCGCGCTCCCCCAGACCGTGCGCCCCGCGCTGCGCTCTCTGTTCGGGCATAGCCCCGGAGAGTTCAGGCGACCCCCGGATCCCCGGTACACCCTGGCCCGCGAGAGGCACCTCCCTGGGCTTGGGTTACCCGGGGTGGGTGGGGGCGCCCGCACAGGGCGCGGGGCGGAGCGCGTGGTCCCGGGGTGGGCGGGGAGGAGACGGGCGCGCGGCGAGGGAGGGCGAGTGGGCAGTGCGCGTCTGGCACGGCCGGGATCGCGGGGCGCTGGACCTGGGCCAGAACGCTGAGAGGGGCGAGCAGGCGTCTGGGCTGATCAGGACAGAGCCGGAGCCGTCGGGGACAGACCGGGGCTGGGAGCAAGAGCGGGGCTGCTTGGCATCAGGCGGCAGGGATGCAGAAGCCGGGCGGGGGTGGCCTTGGCAGGAGAGTCGGCGGGAGCGGCACGGGGGCTCCGGCTAGGATGCCCCAGGATCAGGGGGCGCCCGCTTTCCCCCTGGCGGAGTCCCCTTGCGCTCTGGGTCCGGGATCGTCGTCGGAGTCGGGGCCCTGCCCGCCGCCGTCCCCGCGGCCCCGGGCCCCAGGCTGGGCGACCCCTCGACGGGGCGTCCCGGGTGCCGGCGGGTCTCGGAAGCTGGCCGAGGCGCGCAGCGGCCAGTACGGGCTGAACGTGCTGGTGGCCGGGCTGCTGCTGCTGCTGGCCTGGGCCGTGCACGCGTCGGGGGTGGGCAAGAGCGACCTGCTGTGCTTCCTGACGGCGCTCATGCTGCTGCAGCTGCTGTGGATGGCATGGTACGTGCGCCGCAGCGCCGCGCACCGCCGCCTCTTCCGCCTGCAGGACGCGCACGCGGGCGCGCGCTGGCTGCTCGGTGAGTGTCGCCCCCCCTCCCCCCCCCCCCCCCCCCCCCCCCGTCTAAGCCGGTCCGGTGCTGGCCCTTCGCGGCCCCTTCCTAATCCCTTTCCCTCTCCCCGCGCACAGCCCGCTTCCACGACGCGCGCCCCAGCCGAGCCCCCGCTGCGGGGCTTCCCGGCTTTGTCCATCCCCGCACGGATGCGGGTCACAGATCACCCCTTTTCAGGGTCTGCGCCCCCCTGCCCGGCCCCCTTTCTGCCCTCTCACCAGCTTCGAATCTCCAAGGCCACGCTCACCCCGCCCGCCCTCCCCAGGGATGGCTTTTTCCTCCACCCAGTTCTTGTTCCGGGCCACTTTCCTCCACCCCTCAACTGCGTCCTGGTGGCTGGTTCCTGTGAACCGCAGGAGGGGGCCCTGGGAGGGTCCACAGCATGAGGAATGGCAGGGGGCAGGCCGCTCGCTCTCCAGTCTGAGAGAGAAGCAGAGGGGAAGGAAGCAGCTTAAAGAGGAGGGTAAACAGAGGCCCCCATTGCACAGAAAGTAGGTGGAAGACAGTGTCCCAGCCGGGCTCCTCCATGGCCCCTGCTGTTACAGCTGAGTCTGAAGCTTTATTAGAGTGTGGTTCTCACTCTCTGACCCCCGATGTGATCTCATCTCACACGTAGACCCCCAATTCCCACAGGCCGGCTGGGCAGGGTCCCTGATGTGGGGGGCATCCAGCACTTTGTGCTTCCCCCACCCCCTGCAGAGGTGAAAAATCTCTGGGATCTTATCCCTCTGGCTCCTTGTATGAGGAGGGAGCTACCATCCTGGCCGAGGGCATTCTTCTGCCTGAACCGGCTCATCTTGTCTTTGGGAGACTGGATGGTCTCCGGGTGCCAGATTCCTGCCCTCAGCTGGCTTTGTGATTTAGGGAAGGGCGGCAGCGTACCAGACACCTCATCGTGCAGACACAGACGCAGACGAGTGAAATGCCACTTGGAGGGTGCCCTCAGGGGCCTCTGTCCTCCCTCCTTCCCCTCCCTCATTTCTGCTTCCACCCTCCTCCTCTCTCTCCCCTCCCAGTCCTTTCTCTCTTCCCTTCCTCCCTCCCTCCCTCCCTCCCTCCCTCCCTCCCTCCCTCCCTCCCTCCTTCCCTCCCTTCCTCCCTCTTTCTTTCTTTCTTTCTTTCTTTCTTTCTTTCTTTCTTTCTTTCTTTCTTTCACAGTAGGTGCTTACAGAATGGCTGCATAGATACCTTGCAAGTCATCCCAGTGGCTGGCACCCCCGTGGCTGGCAAGTGCCAAGGGGCCTGTGGCAGTGGGGGAAGGGGCGTTGTCCTAGAGGTCTCGGGGAACATCTGCACTTCTCCTCAGCACTGAACTGGGGCTCCTGAACTCCAGTGGAGTCCTATCCATCCCTTCCTGGCCATGGGTTGTGTTTATCGAGGAATTGAGAGCGAAGGGAAGTGCAGCCAGCTGGTAGAATTGAGATTTTCCTCAGAATCACAGCTGGACAGGCGGGTTTGGCCAGTGGGGCCGCTGGGAGACAGAGCCAGCCCCTGTGAAGCTCCAGGCAGTGAGGGTCTGCAGAGGTTTCTGGGCTTGGCTTCAGGGTGTGTGTGTGTGTTTGTGTGTGAGTGTGTGTGTGTGTGTGTGTGTGTGTGTGTGTCCATGAACAGCTCTATGAGAAGGACTGGGGATATAGTTTGAAGGGTGAGGGGTGGAGTGCCTGCCTGCATGTGTGAGGGCCGGGTTTGATCCCTGGCACCAACCCTACCAGCCTGGCCCCAAAGGCTGCCCAGTCCCACTCAGAGGTGCAACGTTGGGCTGGGCTCAGGTGTAAGGTGCCATCCTGCCTGCCGGGGCTCAGAGTCTGCTCAGGCGGACAGGTATCCAGAAGGAACAAGCTCCTACTCCATCCCCACCAGCGACAAGCAGAGTCCCTGAAGAGAGTCAGCCTGAAGAAGTCAGGGAAGGTTCCAGAAAAGAGGGCTTGTGCTGCCCCATTGCTCCTGCTTCCCCTCCCTTCCCGTGAGCTTCTTTTCATGGCTGTGCCGGGTCACCTGAAGGAGGAAGGCCGGCTGGCACCAGGCTTTGGGCAGCTGAATTCTCTTGGTGATGCTGAAATCCCGACTTGGTGTTTTCCCTTGGAAAAGAAGCCCTGAAACCAGCCAGCTAACCAAACCCAACTATATAAGTGAATAAATGCAACCCTCAAGCCTCTCTCATGTCTTAGGGCCCTCCTCCCCACTTCCTGGAAAAGAAGTGGCTCAGAACCATCCACCCGTTGAGCTGTGCGCGTTTGAGGCTGTCACGCTTCGTCCTCTAGGTTCTGTGTGACTTTGTTGGGAGCTCAGGGCAGTTTCCTGAAACCTTGTCTACTGGCCCACGTGCTTCCTTAACTGAGCTTAGCTCCTGTCCTCCGGCTCTGAGACCAGCTTCGCCCTCAGACAGGGTGGTGGTTCTGGAACACAGATACGATCACTTCCCTCTCCTTGACAACTTCCGTGGCTCTCCAGTACACAGAGAATAGAGCCCACATCTGAAGGTTGACTGTGGGTGCAAACTGACCTGGGTCTTATACACTTACCTGCACTCATTGGTGGATTCCAGCAAAACCAAAGCCCTCCTGTGGGGAGCCCCCAAACGTCACCTCACTGAGCCAGGTAATTCCTTCACACTGTCCTGCCCTGAGGCAGTGGAGCACTGAATCATTCATTCCACCATAACCATCCGTGTCTCTTCTTCCATGCCAGCAGCCACTCTGTGTGTTGCAGGTACTGAGTAACCTCCTGTGAAAGGCAGTGCCATCATGCCATGTATAGATGAGAAAACTGTAGCAGAGTTGAACCATATGCCCTGCAAACGTGAGGGTGCTCTTGGCTCTTATATTCTACAGCCCCCTCATTGCCTGCATTGTACTGACTGGATGCATGGATGGATGGATGGATAGAGAGTCACTATCGTATCCTGGGCTCTAGCCTGTCACTTACCATGTAAATAAGTGTCATTAAGCACTTGAAATCATGAAATTAATGGATGGATGTGTGGGTGAATGGATAAATTAATGGAGAGCTGGAAGGGTGGATGATGGATTGAAGAGTAGAAGGAAAGATGGATGGAAGGGGGAGAATGGATTGTTGGGTGGGTGGGTGCGTTTTTAGACATATGGAAGGGAAGATGTTGGAGGAATGGGCGAATGGAAAGATTGATGGAAGGGTGGATGGATGGGTGGGTGGGTGGGTTATAGTTAGATGGAAGGGTAGATGATGGATGGAAGAGTGCATGGACGATGGATGAATGGATGAGTGAATGATGCCAGATTCTCCAGGAAAGAGAAAGCCATTCTGGGAAGTTAACTTCAGTTTTACATAAGCAAGAATATCCCGGCACTGGCGCAGGCCAGTGACATGTGTATTTGGGGGATGGTGAACCGCCCAGTGCTCCATGTCCAGATGGAGCCCAGATGGCCGCCAATCATGAGACACTGGAAAACTTCTTGCCATAGGTGGGAGAAGTCCAACAAAGCAAGATTTTGCACCTGTAGGAGCCTAAACTTGGGGGGGGGGTCTCTCTGTGCCAGCACTAGGCATTTTAGGGCCAATCTCAAAGCATGTAGTTGGTAAACTTTGTCACTGTCTCTAGCACGTTAAACTGTTTCAGTGACTGAGGAATAACGATAATGATGATAATAGCATCCTGTTTATAGAATTTCTATTCTCCAGACACTGTTCTAGGTGCTTTCCAGTAAATGGCTTGTAAACTTTATATCCTATGAATTAAGCAGTGTTAGCTTTACAGATAAAGAAACTGAGGTAAAAAGAAGTGAAGTCGATGACTGAGGTCATCAAGTAATGAATAGTAGAAGTCAGAATTGGAAGCCAAGCAGTCAGTTATTAACCATTACACTCTACTTTACTTTCAGAGCAAACTTGATTTTTTTTGCCAATGTTTTAGACAAGGGACCTGGAGATAGCTCAAAGGGATAGAGTGTATGCTTGACCTGCTGGAACCCAGGGTTGGATCCCTGGCATAATGGTAGCTTGAGCACTTAGCTGGGAATAGACCCTTAGGACTGCTGGATTTGGACCCAAAACAAAAAAAATTCTATGAACATAAAAAAAGTATTATCTCTTTTGAACCATGCAAGGTGATATTACAAAGACAGGTTTGTTGGTTTTATATGATTTAATTGTTCTATGTTCAATTACTCATCCATCCATTCTTCCATTCACTCACTCATCTACCAACCATCTACCATTCACCTATCCAACCATCCATCATCCATCCATCCATTCATCATCTACCCACACCATCTGTTCATCATCTACCCATCCTATTCAGGCATCCATTTTGTACCCTCCATTATTCACTCCTTCTATTTCCCTTCCTATACTATTCCTCATTTACTCCTTGTTCCATCCACTCTCCAATCTTTTGCTCACTGTTCTTCTCTTTGCCCTTCATCGTTCTTAGTTATGAAGAGCCTCTTCTTGTTAATGGTTGCTTTCCTAAAGCCTTTTGTCAGACAAGTGGCTTTAGCCAAACAAACGTTGCTGATTCATTTCTCTCATGCTGTATGTGTATGTATGTTGTTGCTGAATTGTCACCCACTCAGAGACTCTTTTCTTTTTATCTCAGCTTTATTTAAACACTTTAGTTGACAAAGTTTTTTGTGATGAATTTGTTATGGGACTTCAATATCCTAATATCAACCCCACCACCACCGTCACCTTCCTTCCACCATTGTCCCTATTTCCCCAACCACCATTTAAGCAGGCCCCAAATAATTTATTTATATTGCTGCTACCACTGAACAATTAATGGAATTATAAAAAATGCTTCAGTAAAAGGAAATTTGTGAAAATTGTTATATCTCACCATGGTGGCATGAAGTCTTTGTTTGAGGTTTTACTAAGCTGTTGTTGCTAGTTGAGGCTTTTGTTTTAATGTTTTTGTTAATCGAGCTTAGTTGGCTTCTACATTACATTCCCATCCAACCGGGTGTGCTCCTACTGGGATGTTAGTATTGTAG